ATGTCTCAGCGGTATGACAAAATCTAAACATTGTCCTATTGATGTCCCATTTTCCCCCTTTTCTTTTTGCTCTTGTCAGAGGTCAACCTCAAACAGCATGCGGTGGAATCAGGCGTTACTGTTGGATGTCACATTGATGCATTACAAGGCCCAGGAGGTCACGTCTCAGTAAACATACATTATCAAAACCCATAGAAGATGTGGGATGTTGACCCCAACAGACACTTTACACAGTGTATTCAGGGGGGGTGGGGGGGTGGGAGGTCACGTGACGACAGAGAGCAACTTTCCCGCAATGACTTTTCTTGTTGCAAATCAAAAGGGTCAAGCAATCAAGACTGGTCAGGCTCTGTGTCAAGCAGCGTTATCTCACATCGTCTTAGATGATCAATGAGAGAAAATGAGATAATCACAAGCTAAAATTGGCCTGTTAATGAAAGGAGGCTGTAGAAATATGGGGCTCAGAGAGCAACTCAATTTAGAGAAGGTTGGCTAGAACATTGAAAAGATACCTTGATCTGGATCACTTTGTTTAGATTATTATATTGACACTTCTCCAATCCTGGCTTTATGTTTCTGGGAAAAACGTTTTGTAGATTTAACAAAAACAATCCAGTAAATTCGTTGACTTAAAGGTATAGTGAAGGTTCTTTTTCTGGGTGTATCACCAAAATCAGTGGCCTTCCTAATGGTGAATCATTCTGTTGATATGTTTACGTAAGGCCATCCCACGTACTCGTACCCATATTCACTTACCAGTGGTGAGTCTGACATAGTGGGAAAAATTGAACTTTCATACGCTTGTATGATCAATGCAAATAGCAATTTTTAAACAGAGATTGCACAAGGAGAAATGGGCTGGTGCATGCTTTTGCACACGTTTAATAAGCGTTCTCTCTCGGGAGCAGGGTTGTGCATGTGCTTTTTTTTTTTTTTTTTAAGTGGAGAGGGTAGGTCGTTTCAAAATATTGCAAAAATCCTCCTCTATACCGTTACATTTTTTGCGGCCAAATGGAACGCTTCATTCTTCAAAGACATTTTTATAGTATACAGTACAATGACTTAATCAGACTTCAGTTAATTTCAACTACATAATGAATTATGAACTGTTTAGATGGAAAATTAAAACAGTATAATGATGACAGCAAGATTTGTTAGACATTTTTTCACAATAGAGCACAGGTTTGTTGTTGCACTGTTTTTGTTCGGTGAGTAGTTAGCACATGCTAATTCTTGCCACTTTCAGCAGTCATTATTTTACCAAAGAAGTCAATAGAGAAAGAAATATTTTCAACAGTGTTACAGAATATATCAGTGTATGAACTTTTGTTGATTCAGATTTACCCTGGGTAGCGAACTCCTAGTCTTATGGAAACCCAGATAGTGGTTGTTCTTAAAGCAAAATATTTGCAGTGATTCAGTTTTCTAAAAACTGGCATTTACAGTGTTTTGGGTACCACCATAAAACAATTACACTGCTTGTAAATGTGTAACTCTTTCATTATCAGAGTAATCCAACTAATTACTTTACACATAATTAGTAATGCTGTTATTTAGTTGAGATCTATTGTTGCACGTTCAGTCAATTAAAGCCACTTTTCATAAGTGCACAGTGTTGCGTTAGAAGACTGCTTCCTGTTTTTCCTGCAAGGACAGAGTAGGAGAGCTGAGATAAAGATGTATACTATGCAGATTGGCTGAGGAGCTATAATGTGGGTGAGTGTTCAGCATACATTGATTGCTCTAACAAATTGAAAGACACGAGGTGATGGCAGAGCCCCACATATGAACTGACAGGGTTCTGAAACTCATAGCACTCGCTGATGTTAAAGCCTCGTTGTTCCTGTAAATTTCCCCATTATGTCTTGGAATGACTTTACTCATGTTGGTTACAAAACAACTCTAATCTAATGAAGTATCTCACATTGTCACACCTGTCAACAACACTGACTTACCACTGGGTGTTTTTTATATGTATTGTATGCTACTTCAGTGCAATGCTGAATTAACTTGAATGGTATATTGCCACTGTTTTAACAGAAATACTAGTATTGTCTTGCTCCTCCTGTCTCACCTTTTTATAAAGTCTATCTCATTTGTGTTAAATTATTTTTTAAAGCATTATTTTTTAGTTAGACCCATTTTGGAACCGTCTTAGTCCTTTGTATGAATATTAAGTTCCAAAACATCCAGTTAGCTTTTTATTCTAAACATTAACCATCTGTTCAATTCTACATACATATATTGCAGTTGAATGTCCTGACTTTCATGTCCCACCACATTCACAAAATGGTGCAATTAGACAGCAATGTTTTAAGACGTGGTCCTTTTCATGTACAACTGAATAGAGGAAGTTAATTAAATTAAACATTTCATATATTATAAATTAATTGTTGTATTTTAAGTTCCAAACACAGGAAAGATTTTTCCAATTCATTAGCATTGTAGATGATAAAAAGTAATTGGATTATTATTTTCACAGGCAATCAGAAATGTTGATTGTGCTGTAAACTAAGTGGGCTGCTTAGTGGCGGAGCAGGAAGGTTCCGGGTTTGATTCCCGGCCGGGGGTCTTTCTGCATTGGATTTGCATGTTCTCCCTGAATATGCATGGGTTCTCCCCGGCTACTCCCCTGGCTTCCTCCAACAATTAAAAAAACATAAGGTTAATGTTAATTGGCTTCTCTAAATTCTCCTTAGGTGTTGTTTGTCCTGTATCTCTTTGTATTGCCCTGCAATGTACTGGTGACCTGTCGTGGGTGGGTGCCGCCTCTTGCCCATAGACAGCTGGAAATGGGCACCTGCACCCCTCTCGACTCCAGCAGGGATAAAGCTTGAAGGAAAATGGATGGATGGATGGATGTAAACTAAGTTGGGGTTGAAGATGCCACTATACACCTGCTTCAACAAACCCACTGTCATTTAGACAAGGCAGACAGATCTGTATGCTCTATACCATGTATAATGCGCAATTAGCACGTTTCAGGCCGACATACTTGGTTAGAAACTCCAGAAGACTCATGTGGAGGCATCCACAATCTCCTGAATCAAAGACTACTTGACAAAGAGGTTTCAGTTTGTGAGACAGAAGGGTCAGCTGTCTAATCAACTTGTCAGTACAGGAGCGCCACATGGGATGATACCCTCCATTCATTTTTATTCTGTACACCTCTGACTTCCAGTACCAGAGTCTTGTCATCTGCAGAAATACTCAGATGACTCTGCAGTCATTGTGTGCACCAAAAATGGACAAGAAGCTGAGTACAGAGAATTTAGGGAACAGCTTTGCTAAATGGTGTGGAAACAATCATCCAATCCTGAATGCCAACAAAACAAGGGACACAATTGTAGATTTCAGAAGAAACAGGAAAAGTTTAATCCTGTTACGGTAATATCATAGGAAAAGAAGTGCAGTGGTATTAACAAAATTGGGTGTTCACCTGGACAACAAACTTGTCTGGAGATACAACTGTGACCCCATCTACAAGATGGGACAGAGCAGACTGTACTTCTTAAGATAGCTCAGGTCCTCTGCGTTTGCATCAACATTCTGCATATCCTCTAAGTCCGTTATGGAGAGTGTGGCCTCTTCTGACTTCATCTGCTGGGGTAATCAGTGCAAATATAAAGAAGCTCAACAGGCTGATACACAAGGCTGGCTCTGTTCTAGGAACTTCTCTAGAGCCTCTGGAGATGATTTCACAAATAAGAAGAAATTATTAAGTGAACATTATGGACAACAGTGAACATTCTCTTCAGAAGATTAAGCAACATCAGAGTGTCTTCAATCAAAGGCTTCTTCAGTTTAAAACGCATAAAGATCCTTCCTGCCTACAACTCTCAAAATCTACAGCAACTCATTGAAGAAATGGCAATGAGTTATTTCAACCATTTAATTTCTATTTAAGAATAATTTTTGCATTGAGTGACTGCCTCAACCCTGACCTGACACTATTGTCAAATAGTTGGGTTAACAACCCAAACTGTTTTTTACTCAGTCTTAACAGGCCCCATTTGTAAATAAGATCCCCCTTTAGATAAATCATAAACTAATTTACAATTTCTTCATGGTGACATTCCCTAGTATTCCTCGACTGGTGGTATCAGCATCAAGAAATCCTTTAAACAGAAACTTTTCAACTAAAGGAAGTAGTTCAAAAGATCTTGAAAGGAAACAATGTTTCACAATCTTAAGAAATTCGAGAATAAATCAAAATCATACTTATGTATAAGCCTGGAAGAGTTTATAAAGCTTTTTCTAAGGGTTTGGGACTCCAGGAAACTTAGTCAATTTTAGCCCCCCAAAAAAACAAGAGCAGTGTTTTTTGGTCTCCCAAGAATGGCCACCCAATCAAAACTACTAGTAGAGCATTCCAGAACGACTGAATATTTTCTAGCTTGACCATGGCCTGGATGAGTGAGATTCTTCAGATATGTTGGACAATGTCTGGTCATCAGTGTCTCAAAACATAAGTAGAGGTATGCTGGGGAAGATTCTCAGTCATAGTTATTCCAAAAAAAGAAAGTTAACAATCCACCGAACTTTGTTTCCAAGTTTGAAAGACGTTTTGCTTCCCTTCCAGGATGCTTTTTGAAATCAAAATGTTTTCACATTTTGAATTGAAAATGTAGAGTAGAACTCAGGGGTCTAACTCAGTATTCTGGATTAAACCCATGACCTAAGACTGTTTTCCAATATAAACTGAGGAGTGAATTTGGCCATATTTAACCCAGAATATGTTTAGGAAAATAACCTTAAGCGACAAATTCATTCATCATTCATTCCAGGTGTTTGAATCAGAAACAAGACTTTCCTCAAAAGTTTATTTTGTGTAATTTCTGCAGCACAGAGACTCTACGACAGAAAGCATCTGATAAAAAACAGGTAGGTAACATTTTCTATTAAAATGTTTTCTTTTATTCACAAGACTCAAAAACAAACATATAAAAGGCACTTTGGAGAACAGCTCAGTTCTAACAAACCTACTTTCCTTTCTTTTAGTGAAAAATACTTAATGTTCTGTATGTGCATTGCGTCAAAAGGTACCATACCTGTGTAAACATATTACCACCTATAAGCTGCAGCATACCCCAATAAGCACCGTAAACAAGTGCGACACGAAAGAAAATTGGCTATAAATACATCATCATATCATAAATAACACTTTTTCCACAAAATACCTCATGCTTTGTACTATGTCCTGCTAACCAAAACAAAAAAAAAAGCCAAAAGTTCAATCGAACACATTTAAAATAAGAAAATGACCAAAAACATAAAATACAACATGGAAAAGAACATATTGCATAATCCTTCACTGTTATTTTATGTAAATTGATAGTTCAATACTTCTGCTACAAGTTTAAAAGCCAGTTTTAGCAAAGGAGTTCAGCAGGTTGAAAACCACATTTAGAGCTGGATAATTATTGCATTTTTTTGTTATGCAAGGGTATTGACTTGTAAACGGACTTATTTCATTCCCTCAAAGAAACCCTGTTACAGACTGAAGTGCTGAAATTACCACAGTGCCGTTTTATTCCACTTCCATAGCAGAAATATCCTGCTCATCATCAGATTTCTCAGGAGGTGGTTCTTGGGGCTCTGGGGCATTTTGGCCATCTGATGCAGAACCAGGCTCGGTGGTTGTTACTGTGCCTGGCTCCTGGGCATCTGCTCCAAGAGGGGCATCAGCAGGCTTGGGATTTTCTAAGAATTAGAAAAGGGTTTTATTTCATCTTTGAATGCATTCAAAAAAGAAAAAAGCACAGAAAGGGAAAAAAAATGGATACAGATAATACTGCCACCACTGTCATTTCTGCCTTGTGCTTTAATTTCTAAAAAAAAAAAAAAAAAGATTTCCAAATGTAAGGCAAACTGATTGTGTTTCTATAATTCTGAGAGAGGGGATTTTCATACAATAATGACCATAATAAAAGATAAGGAATCATATGTTAGCCATTTCAAGCCTTAGTCCTTAGAGGTTTAGAGGAACAGGACTGGGAAAGAAAAAAAAAAAAAAAANAAAAAAAAAAAAAAAAAACGGATTTCCAAATGTAAGGCAAAATGATTGTGTTTCTCTAATTCTGAGAGGGGATTTTCATACAATAATGACCATAATAAAAGATAAGGAATCATATGTTAGCCATTTCAAGCCTTAGTCCTTAGAGGTTTAGAGGAACGGGACTGGGAAAGAAAAGAAAAAAAAAAACTTTTTTCCCCCCCACCTGAATCACCTGAATCCAGCTGGTTCACTTCACCAGAAGCAGGGGATGATGAGCACTCCTCAGCTACCGGCACCCTCGGTTCAGCAGTGATCTCTGGGAGTCTAGGAGCCTGAGGTCTGGTCTTTCTTGCAGGATTAAAGAAGTAACAATATGCACATCGGAAGGCTGAAATGGCACAAATAAAAGCATCATACATCTAGCTAATACATACACTAACACTGCCAAACAGACAGATCAATCTAAATACATTTTCAACCAATGACACAATTTGCCTTGGATGCATGAACATTTCAGACTGATGCGACTTTGGGCATTCAATCGTGTTCTGCTTTCACTTACAGGAGCTGGTAGCAGTGGAGGCATTTAAGAGCCGTGTGATATACTGTCCTGCCAAGCGCTAGAGGGCAAATGAAGGCACGGCATTTGATTGAGACTGATAAACAGCACCGCGATTCTCAAAGTCTTACCAATGTATTCAAATTCTTCTTTTAATGCCATGCCGTTATGGGAGGAACACTGCTGGCATACAAGAGCGTATCTACGAGAGAAGAAAGGCAATACAATAAAGACACATACAACTCTGAAATATGGGAGGATATGAAAGGGATCATAAACAAAAAATACAACTATGGAGTTAAATACTATTTTTAAGTCATCTGCACTTTCCTACTGATGTGACACCAAGTGAATTTAGATTTTATAAATATTAAAAAAGGGAAGCAATTACAACCGCTAATCCTAGCTGTACATTTGTTAAATTAATTAAAAAAATACATTAAAACCACAGTTCCCTCTAAAAGCATTGATTTCTCCAAAATATTTTGTCATTTTAGACAAGATCCCAAAGCTTTGTAAATCAGACTGACATGTCTACAAGTTGGTTTTTGCAAAACAGCAAGCCCAGGATGATTTAAAAAAAAAAAAAAAAAAAAAGGGCTTGAAATTTTCCCCCCATTTGAATACCTGCTCTCAGAAAGGCCATATAGAAATGCATATAGAGTGTTTAACATCCATTGAGTTTTTTGCTGCTATCCAACAGTATTTCTACAATGACTGCCCACCATTTAATGCATGTACTTATTCCTTTATTTCATGGTTGCAAACACTTCAAGTTACCGTATTAGCAGTCTTATTTGATTATTTCATTTTGTGTTGAGAAATGTTTGCATCAGCTTAAGAAAGGAACAAGAATTTTAACGTGTCATCTGAAAAATTAACCACATCAAGCTTAAACACCACCGGTCTAGTTTTTTAATCTTAATTTGAGTGTGCATTGACAGTTCAGGTTCTCACAAGGATTTTCTATGAGCATGGGGGGGGGGATAATTTCAGCTTGAAAGACCAACCATTTGGGAATCCTTCCAAGCCTGGTCACTTCACCACTGCTTTCAAAACTGGCTCTTTGTCTGCTAACAGGAGCGATAGCATGTGTGTTCACCTGCCTGCAACACTCTGTCTGAAGGGCGCAGTGTTCATGTTTGCACTGTGCTTTTCTAACATTTATGTGCATATAAAGTAACCATCTAAAAATCTCAGTTGTCACTGCTGTTACACTCATTACAAGTCGGTGTATCTGCCTAATTTCAGTGTAATTTTGACAACTTTCAGTGTAACTAAAGTTTGTCCTAAAATGCACTGGAGAAAACCCTCAGGGATGGAGCCTAGATATCAGTCAAAGGGCCAATGCGCTCAAAAAAATAAATGAGTGTAGCAGCCTGAATATGCTGGCAGGAACACTGAATAATACTATTCGTTTTTGGGGTAATATGAATGGAAACTGAAGATATCCAGGTAGGTATAAATATGGTTCTAGGTGCAAATCAAAGTCTAAATAAAGGTTCATCCTATTTCAGCAAAGTTTTGGCAACATATCACACCTGTTCTGAGGGCCGTCTCCAACAAGATATTCAATGATTCTGTCCACTGCACCCCTATCCCTTGGGAGTATAGGTCTAGCCATGGGTGGACCTGGGGGGTGCATCCCTATAAGAGAGAGAAAAAAAAAAAGAAACAGTTTGTTAAATATACCTTTCCCTCTTAACTACTACACCTAAATGAAGAAAGCCAGCCTACAGTTTGAGAAACAGTTTGAAGCACAGAAGTTGACTGATTTTCCCAAATCCTGCATCTTTTTTCCTTAATGACGCCACACCTGATCTCACTCGGAAAACATGTTGTGAACCCCTGCTGAGTTGGTGGGTAGTAATTAATATAATCCAACATCAAGAGCAATCATAGGAAGATGACTGGTCATTTCTGTGAGACTTGGCAGAGTCTCAGTGTCCTGCTGCTTATTAATTTACCAACATATGGAAACTCTGTGGTGACTCTTTGTATCAAATTGCTTTTCACTTTCAATTTTCAACAGACGCAGGTGATAACATAAAGTCATGTAAGCCATTTGTGAGGTGTTCCCGATGCCAAAAGCAATTTCGGAAGGAATTATAAGGCACTTAGAGAGAACCCCACCACCGCTGCCCATGGAAGAAATGCAGATCCTATTAATTAATCATACTTACCGTTATGCAGCATTGTGCAAACCTCAGTTGGCATTCCACTTGGAAATTACAAAATAGAACTTCCTTTTCTTCAAAAACATCTATTTCACTATTTGTACTTATTTGTAATTTTTCCCTACAGAGATGTGATTACTTGGATATCAATTCAAGGTTTCATCAATTTAAACTACACAGATGTGTTCACATAAAAACCAACCCAGTAAGAAGCTCTGCAGCATGCTCATGAGATATCTTTGTTTGAGAGTTGTTAAAGTTCCCAATGTAGGTGTAATCCCATGATAGAAATCGTACATCACATAAATATCCAAGGAACTTTTAGATTTCATCCAAGCATTACCCAAAACTTAATGAATCTTATTAGGAATTTATGCAACACAAAAAGGTCTTTCATAAAAATCACAAAAACAGCAACATTAAAACATGCTGCCTTTCTGCCTTATGGGTGCACTTCAAATGAGAATATGAGCCTTACCCTAAACTGAAAAAAACCCATTTGCCATCCTTTCAGAACATCCACACCTTCAAGCCAAGCAACATGCTTCAAACTTAGAAAAATACTTTTCCATCCATAAGACAGAACACCTAATGGGACACACATTCACTTTTATGAAAAGAAAAAATGGGTAGTGAGGGGCATAGTTAGACATTTACATCAGACTTCAGAGACCACCACTTAACCAAGGAGCTGGTCTAAGGTTCCATCTTTTCTCCCAGTCCAACACAACTCTCAAAACTCTTCCCAATGAAGTTTTAGGACAATTAAAACCTTCACATGGACCAACATAGCAAGCCCAAGATAAAAAATGTGATCTGGGGGCGAACTGAACCCAGAAGATTAAAAGCTTGGCGTACACGTCACCAAGAACTAAGAACCGAAGACCATCTCTGGAAGAAATACAAGGCTTTTAATCACCCCAGTTGCTTTTTTTTCCACAGCCCCTTCCACCACCTACAGATTGTTAGTAATCTAAAAGTTTAATTCACATTATGTTTTTCTCACCAACTGAGGCAGTGCTTTCTGTTACCATTTATCAACGCAATTATAGTAGTAAGTCTTTGGATATCTAGACATTTAATTGTTAAATTATTTGATATTTTTTAGTCATTCTATTTTTAATAAATCCTGTTAGCCATGCGTAATTTTGCATGCAAGCCAGAATGTTAAATTTGACTCTGAACAAAAAACATTAGCTCTATCATAAACTCGTTTTCTCTTTTGGTATGTCCCCTACATGGCTTACAGAATAACACGTCTTGTGAATCTCTTTCAACAAAGGTCATTTGACTAAATAAGCAACATCTGATGGCTATTGGCAGCTCTGGAGCAAACCCTGGGTTGCTTGTTGCTTTTCAGTTATTTAAATTTAAAACATTTTTTTTTCCCCATTTCACAATCATGCTCCACTTTTTTGTTGTTTTTTGTTTGTTTTGTTTTTTTGCACTAAAATCACCATAAAAGGTTTGTGATGAGGTGAATTATGAATACCTTTTGAAAGGTACCACATGCAATTTTATAGACCGTTTGCCTTTTTTAGTTCATAACATGTATAGGAAATGTTTCATGTGAAAAGACTTTTTAATTCAATAGTCTGTAATTATCTTTTACAGCTGCTGCATTACATACCCCAACCTTGGTGAAAACACAAACCACAGAGCTTTGAGCAACTGGGGATAAAAAACCGGGGATGAGTAAATCATACCTTAATCGACCACATTATGATCTGGTCCCATTGTGTGCAGGTAACTCACCGATTCCTGGAACAGGTGTTCCCGGGGTCATGGGCCTCCTCATCAAACTCTGCTGAGCAGCTACTGCTGACAGGCCCCTCTCTGGGGGTCCACCTGGAGCAGAATGGGAAGAACGGCCGGATCCAGAGGGGAGGGGAGGCCGGGTAGCAGAACCGACTGCAGGACTCTGAACCACCGTTGGGGTCTTTGGAGTGACAATCCGCTGACGGAGCTCTAAAAAGAAAGATTGTAGACCGCTAAATAGTAGGTAATCTCTGAGTTTAGATAGCTTTGAAAAGAGATCTTCAAACCCCTTCAGGGTCATTCCTACCCTGTCCTGGTTTGGGAGTCAACTGGGATCTGACTGGAGTGGATTCCAGTTCCTTGATACAAAACAGCAAGACATGTCAAGAATGTGATTTAGCAGCAGATTACTAGCAAAAATGATCAGAGAATAAGACAAAAACTGAAAACTTACATTTTGTTTCTTGGATTCAGGATCAAATCTTTCCAAAATCATTTTGGCATTTTTATACGTCTCAGTTTCCATAACTTCCTCAAGCTTGGAAAAAAAAAATTAAAGTAGAATTCATCAAAGAATTGTGCGTGTTCATTAGGCTGTGCATTAGGGCTTTGGTCATTTGCACAAGACAACATCATAACAGTGAATCCCTTGGAATTATATTTGAAATAAAAACACTGAAGACTTGTGCATGTTTGCATTTAATATGAAGAATAATTGGATTCACTACTTCGATAATGGGGAGTGTGAAAATTCATCAGCCCTAATTATTGAAAGTTATTAGAACTTGACAGAGGATGACAAGTAATTCATCTGACTTTTTTTCCCCCTATACTAAACGCTATTAATTAAAGTGACATTAGCAGAGTGGCTGGCTGGGTTAAGTCAGTGTACCATTCACAAGCTGTCTCCACTAAATTTAAATAAGCTAAAATTGTGCAGCAAACTACACTGGTCTTTAATATGAGCCCTGATAAAAAAGACATGCTAGCAATGATTTAGCAAGGTTGTTTAAAAATAACAATTTACTTTAAAATTTGTATAAAAGGATGCCTTACTATTTTCTTTTTCTGTTCCTTCAGTTCTTCCAGTTTTTCATCTAAAAAAAAAAGAAATGTTTCAAATGCATTGTTTTGCAATACGAAAAACTTCAAAGATCAAGAAGGATCTTACTATTTTTCTCAGTTCTTCGAGAAAAAATAAACACAACTGCCTTACGAAGAATCCAAACTCTAAAAGGATTTCAAAAAAGATTGATTAGGTTTTTTTTTTTTAGACTTTAGAGAATATGCGATCAAATATAAGGCATACTTACAAAAATGGAAATAATACAAAGAGTGAAGCCAATATGAGTTGCCCCATTAACTGTTCAGGCAGGTACCATAAATACACAACAAGGAGGGTAGCCAAGTACAGCAGAGACGAGTAGAACAGCATTCCTCCAATCCATTTCTTTAACTGCCTTTGATACTTCTCACTGTAGTCTTCAAGAGTCTGGATTTCCTTTAAGGAAACAAAAACATTTCCCAAATCACATGTGAACAGTAGTTTGGTTCTGACGTGTAAACGAGTCAAACTTATAACCAGAACTTTGAAATATAGAAAACTATTAATGGTGACATACAGTAGCCTCTCATGATGCAAAGTAAATAAATACATGCGCCAAATAAAAACTTAATTTATAGAGACTTGGTATGACCAATTTACGAGGTGCACTACGTAGGGAAATTATGTTAGCTTAACTTGTCCAGCAGACAATCATCAACAGCATCCATAAAGAAAGTAAATGCAAACAGTGCCTTTGCTAAACAGCAGCTGTTCAGTTTGGGATATCCAAGAATAATAAGAGAAAGGGGAAAGGAAGAAAATACATTGTACAAAGAGCTGAGCAACCAAACACAATAGCCACAGCCTTGAGGAATATCGGGAAGGAAATGCAATTTTGGTTGGGAAAGCTTCAGTGTGTGAGCTGGCAAAATAAGCTTCTGCTTTGCAAAGGATATTTTTTTTTTCAGTGTTAAGTCCACAGTCAAATGAACAGCTTCTAAAAGACAGTCTAATGCAAAACGCTTAATCTAAAATCATTAGTTGTCATTTGTGTTAATGTATGCAAGGTTGGTTCCTCTATGGTGGATCACATGCACACAAACACCAATTAGTAGCAAGTTCAATGGATAGGAGTATCAAGTTAGGGGTTGGTTTTAAACGCATCTCCTTGGGAAGGAGGTTTTAAAAAGAGTCTGTTTTGTAGAGGCTCTGTGTCAATGGGACACCCTATCTACCAAAGATGCTTGTTTATAGCTAAAACAAGCACATCTGGATGAGACCCAAGAAATAATTTGCTTGTTTTTAGCTGTGAGCCATAAATAAAAATGAACAAAAACTTGAAATAAATCACATTGTGCTAAAATCAATTTATATGATGCAAGTTATAGTGAGTTACTGAAATAAATTTACCTTTAAAGATATTCTAATGTCTTGAGATCAAGTATCCCTTTATACAACAATTAATGTGGTTTTATATATACAAACACATAATAAATGTATAACTATGTGTTTTTAATCCATGGATTGTTGCAGTCCAATTTGTCCAGTTGTTTGTGTCATGCATCCATATATTTTGTCAGGAGAGGGATAGCGCAGATGCAAGAGAAATTAGAGGAAACATACAGAGAAAGTAGAGAAAAACAAACACAGAAGAACTACTAGTAAACACATTTAACTTATATAATAGTTATATTAAAAAAATACTTGCATCCCCCCTCCTTCAAAATCCAAAATTTGATCCATGCCTACCACCCATTTTAAAGTTGAACTAGTTGAACTAGTAACTAATATTCTGATTCTGGAAATAGAAGCCCTGCGTGCTGACCAGGCTACCTAAAAATAGCTGCTGGACAGAATAGGACCAGCTCTTCGTCCCAGAGATGCCTCTGGAACACGTGTGTCCGTCACTCTAAGCAGTAAAAGAGCATATCTCACTTTCAGTCTTACAATACAGAAGATCATACAAGATTCTTGTTTCGTGTGCTGAAAAGCAGCAGAAAAACTATGTTCTGTACGACAGAATTACAGAGGTTGACACAAATAGGCCTAATTCCCATCGCTTCACAACCTAAATACCACTCCACATCTCTCTGACACGAAGATCTCTTGTGGCTACTGCTCCAAGGACGCAACTGAAAATAGCCCAACATTGGCTTACTTGCAATATAGCAGTAAAGCTCCATCACACAGCAAATTACTGACATTTACATTCAATCAAAAGGCTACATTCATCCCCAACATCAAAGCATCAAAAATGGACTGTAAGGAGCAGCTTTACTGGAAATATTATGAGTTTTCTTGACTTAGTAAAAATCAAAACCCTATTATTTCACTTGCCTTAAACATAATTAAATGGACTACTGCAAGTTTGATAATATTAACTAGCAGTGCAACTGAAGTTTATGTCTGATAATTGATTTCTTGATTAATTGCAAATTCTGATAGCAAATGTACCTTAAGGGAGATTTTATTCAGAATTCAAACCAGGTAAAGTTCAAACTATGCATCCTAAATTCTGAAAGAGCATATTTATGGACAAAAGAGATTTTTTATCTTCACTGGCAAAGCTTGTTAATATTTTTGACACTACTCTGAGTGAGCCGGTTTTCAGCTAATGGCATGTCTGTGTCTAGTTAACAGTCATTTGGTTACTAAATTGGCTTTACCTTTTCAAGTCGTTCCAACGTTTCCACAGTGGAAGGTTTAGCCTGTAGGGAAAGAAGAAATTAAATCATATTATTCATACCATTTTCTTAAACAAGTGTCCTTTTCGTACAAGGAGCTTAATCCTTTTGTTATTCATTAGCTTCTTTAAGATGGGGAAAGAAAAAAAAAACCATTAGAAACAACTTTTGTCTACATAAAAAAATATGTATTCCTCATTACCAAACAAATTAAAATATATTAAATGAAAAAATATAAAATTATTTCCATTTTGTTTTGAGCTCTTATACCATCTCTTCTTTATGATTGCTATCAAAAATAGTTAAACTATATAAAATCAGTTCCATTATAAATTCAGAAATAAATTTAAGAGCTGTATTTGGACGAATATGTTAAAGCAAACAGCAGTGTCCTTTCAAAATAAAAATAAAAAATAGGGCAAAATGTCTTTAGGTGCATTAGAGGTTCTAAATTAGGCTATATTTGAGACTTTATTAAAATTAACAATGAAGCCGTTTTGGCTTTCCATGTCCTGTCCTCCCGAAGGTCACGCACCCACAACTGGCAACCAAGACAACCATTCAGAGTTCGTAACAATGGCGGCTAGGAGCTGGGAATAATATATTTGATGAAGACCGCAGTTTGACAGAGGGGCTGCTACAGAGCGCTCTGGACAGCTTGTTTCCCCTTATGAGATCATAAGAGGAATGCTTTTCAAACAGAAGATTTTAAGCACAAACAATGTAAGAATTTATTACATATTATGGTACCTTTAGGAGGTTAAACATTAAGAAGAACATGCTGTGGTTCAAATTATTTACTAATCTTGGTAGTATAGGCCCATTAGAACAATGAAACTCTCACCGTTTTGTGAAAAGCCCTGCCATCCGAAAAGCCCACAGGTCAGTACACACCTTTGTGCGGCGCGGTTTGAAGCTCTTTATACTGATCAGACAGGTTTACTCTGACCGGCACAGACGTGACAAGTTATCAATTATTGCTAATCATTGTGACAAGTTAACAATTCAAAAAAATTTTTTAGTTTTTTTCTGAACCTGCAGAGCCTCTGCTTTAAGTTTTTTTGGTTCAGTGATCCAAATGATTTTCATATTAGACAAATTAAGTAATTTTATACATCCTTGTATTTACATTACATAAAACTTTCATTTTTTTTACCCCGGTTTATAAACAGTTGAAGACAGCCAATGTGACAGCACTACATTTATTAGGCTACTTGTTTATTAGCAGTTTGGCACTATAGCAGTTACAGCTATAATTTCTAAATTAATATATACCCGATACTTCTGCAAAACTTTCCAGGCTGCTATTGAATCTGCTGGAGCACCATTGTGAATACCCGGTTTTCTTTTTCTGGCCTGTAGTTTGAGAGCAATATCTAAGAATCTCCGAAGAAACTAACCTAGTGCAGAATATATATATATATATATTTTTTTTTTTTTGGAAACGAGAGGGGGAAAACTGGAACATCTCAGCACGTGTACGAACAGTGAGGAAAATAAGTATTCGAACACTCTACTATTTTGAAAGTTCTCCCACTTAGAAATTATGGAGGAGGTTGGAAATTGTCGTCGTAAGTGCATGTCTACTGTGAAACAATCTAAAAAAAAAATCCAAAAATCTGAAAAGATTATTTTTTTAAACCTATTTATATGATACAGCTGTAAATAAGTGTTTCAAAACCTGTCTATCAGCTAGAAATCTGACCCTCAAAGTCTGCATTCAAAATGCGCACCTCCACTCCATTTAACATCCTAAATTAGATACACCTGTTAGAGCTCGTTAGTTGCATTAAGACACCTATCCACCCCATACAATCAGTAAGATTTCCAACTACTAACATGGGAAAGACCAAAGAACTGTCTAAAGCACTAGAGATGAAATTAGACACCTCCATGAGGCTGGAAAGGGCTACGGGGAAATTGCCAAGCAGCTTTGTGAAAAAACATTCACTGTTGGAGCAATTATTAGAAAATGGAAGAGGCTAAACACCACTGTCAATCTCCCTTGGACTGGGGCTTCATGAGATCTCACCTCATGGAGCCTCAATGATCCTAATAAAAGTGAGAAATCAGACTTGAACTACACGGAGGGGGGAGCTGGTCAATGACCTGACAAGAGCTGTGACCACCATTTCCAAGGTTATTGTTGGTAATACAATAAGACATCATGGTTTAAAATCATGCATGGTGCAGAAGGTTCCCCTGCTTAAACCAGAGCATGTCAAGGCCCGTCTTAAGTTTGCCAAGGATCATTTGGATTATCCAGATGAGTCATGGGAGAAGTGTCATGTGGTCAGATAAGACCAACATAGAACTTTTGGGTCATAACTCCACTAACCGTGTTTGGAGGAAGAAGAATGATGAGAACCATCCCAAGAACACAATCCCTACTCTGAAGCAAGAATGTGGTAGCATCATACTTTGGGTTCTTTTTTTTCTTTTTTTTTTTGCACATGGGACAAGGAGACTGCACTGTATTTAGGAGAGAAGGATCGGGGCCATGTATTGCTAGATACTGGGAAACAACCTCCTTCCCTCAGTTAGCGCATTGAGGATGGGTGTTCCGACATGACAATGAATCTTTGGAGGGAGCTCAAATTCTATGTTTCTCAGCGAAAGCCCAGAAACATGACTGATCTAGAGAAGATCTGTATAGAGGAGTGGGCCAATATCCCAGTTAAAAAAATAAATAAATAAATAAATAAAACAAAAATAAAAATACAGGAAATGTTTTACCTCTATAATTGCAACTAAAGGCAACCGTACCATATATCAATATTGATTTTCTCAGTTGTTCAAATACTTATTTGCAGCTGTATCATACAAATAAAAAGTAAAAAAAAAAAACATATTGCATTTTCTGGATTTTTTCTTTTTTTAAATGGGAATACATTTGTTTTGAACTGAGAAACAAACTGAGAAACCATTTGCAGGATGAGCCTAGAAGCATAAGCATGGTGCTCTTTGACATTTAGTTTACAATGGAGCTCTTTATACATGACTAAAGAAAACCAAAATATGTTTCATAGAAAAGAATAACTTAACTTGATTGTTTTGTCATTGTAACTTAGACAAAAATCGCACAATATATTTAAAACAAAGAGTGGACTGTAAAAACGTGGGCTCCAAAACTGCTTTTAGAAGATTTATGAACTTCGATATAATTGGATTTATCCTGTGTACCTACTTAACTGTAAAAAAAATATAAAGTACATTTAAAATACATCACATTGCAAAAGACCTATATCATAAAGTTTAAGTTGAATGCCAAAGGGATATCTGAAAAACAATGTAGCTGTTGATGCAATTAATGTACACAAATAACCATAAATGCAAATATTAGATGGTTGCAACAGTGCAACTGTTGGAATGAGATAACATTTTTACATTTACCAGTCACATTCAGAAGCCAGGATGAAAAAACTCGAAGATAACATGTAAGTTAAAGATTTACAGCACTGTGATACAGATGTATCGCAATAAATCCAAACTATATTATAATATTAATCACAGACCATAATGTCTAGGCCTAGGCTGCAGATAATAACAGTGGGATGGCCACTGTCCCAATTGCCTTGTGAACAGACTCCTTGGTTTGGTGCTTTAAGCATGTCAATGAACCCACCATACTGATGTATTGAAGGACTGGTATTAAAACATGCATAATTTGGAATATATTTGCAAGTTTGCATCATCATATCTGAAGTCCATAGATTAAATGCAACTTTTTCTATAAAAACACCCCTTAATCCATACTCAGTAGTTGCCTTTTAAATAATAGAGTTATCTCTTTTATGCTACTTGTTTTGTGCATCAAGATGGATCATAGGTAGTTTATGTGAAGTAGATGCAACCATCTAACCTGAAGACATAATTATGAATACAAACCCTCCATCGTGAAATTGCAGCCCCCATATTGATGACAAGGGGATGTTGCTTTTCCTCTTAGACGAGTCTTTGTCCGTTAGCCTCCTTAGTTTAATATCTCAACCTGCAGACAGCAGTGGTACACCATCAATATGTTTCAGCTCATTTGGAAATATGAAACAAATGTCTTCTTTTACAGAGAAAACTTTTAGGAGAAACTGAAACCACTCTCATTGAATCACATGAGCGTCCCGACCAAAACGGGAGGACAAACTACACCAAAAATATGCCACATTAGATAGTTTACCAGCTTTAACAGCCCACTTTCGACACCAACGTAGCAGCTGAACACAACATTTCAGTTAAACACGTTAATAATTTCTGCTATGGCTGCAGGAGGGGGGCTACCCCCCTGCTAGCTGCTTTTAGCTCATTAACGATGTAGCTCATAGACGTTAGCAACAAACAAAAAGATATAACTTAACGCTACGTGGATGGTTGAAGGATGAAGTTTAAACAGCGCACAGTTAAAATAACCCTTTGAGCTAAAAACACAAGCACCTCTCATCTGTTAGGGTTGTTGTTTCTGTAGCTAACTATGTAGCCGCTAGCTCTAGCTAGCAATAATGGTCTTGTCCAACGCGTTTGATTACCAACAAGCTGATGAGTCTGCAGATGCTGAAGTTAAAGCGGGGACAACCTGGACGTTTTCTATAGGGTATAAACAATGACGTTACCTTTGCAGTCGAGAAGTCCAGTTTTTGAGCAGCGTTCAGCAGAGCAGACCGTCCTGTACTTACTATGAGTGAAGAAAGGGGGAGTATCCTACTGACAGCCTGAGCACTGAGGAACAGGACTAACTGGGTTCGCCCGCCCTGTGGCGGCGCATTATCTTTCATTTATTTAATTGGAGCCACAAGGTACAAAAATACGGAAGAGGATTGGGGCCACTGAAAAAAGGGTTAACTGATTTTTTAAATTTATTTCAGTTTAATAGCCTATGGGAAAAAGTCAGAATTCTGAGATTAAAGTCAGAATTCTGATATTAAAGTCAGAATTCTGACAAAAAAGTCAGACATCTGAGATTAAAGTCAGAATTCTGAGAAAAAAGTTAACTGAAAAATCGGTTAACTTTTTTTTTTTTTCAGTGGCCCTAATCTACTAAAACGCATGGCTGATGATAATTTTTCGGCTCTATCTATTAATATTTAATTTAATTGACTACTGAACTTGTCTGTTGGTCAACGAGACCTCATAAAACATTTTTAAGTTAGTGCTCAACATTTAAAAAAGAACTACGTGGACCAAATGTATTTTTAAAAATCACACGTATGTGACTTCAGAGCATTTTAGCACTTTTCCATATACGGTATTAAAAATCAGATTCCCATTTTAACTGGTGTTAGGTTTATAAAAATAGTCATAATGTTGATTTAATTCAAAGGCGTTTTGAATATTTCGAGAAAGACGTATGAACCAGTGAACCTTTATTAGACCAGCAGTGGAAGGGCCCATGGTGACTATGGGAGTTGTAGAGATCTACTGATTAATTGAGGCGATCTGTTGGCCAAACAGTTGTGTACTCCGCAAACCCGATTTTTATAGAAGATGTGCTGTTGCTGAATAAGAGACATGAAAGTTTGACACATGCTATGAAGTGAACTCAGCTTACATGTTGAAGAAATTACTGTTATTATTTAAGACCATAAATGGTCTTACACAGGGACCAAAACCCTGATCAGACCACTGGAAGAATAGAATAGAATAGAATAGAATAGAATAGAATAGAATAGAATAGAATAGAATAGAATAGAATAGTTTGGAAAAAATCATATGTGTTAAAATGACAGATTCAAAGTCCAGAAAATAAATCTGGAATGAGTGTGAACTCTCTTGTAAGCTAGAGACATACCAGAAAACCCTGCTGTTGAATCTGGAATGAAAGCTGGTTCTAAAACATATCTGCTCAGGTGAGATAAATCAAAAGAATGCCACACTTTTATTTAATATATATACTGTACAGTCATACATAAAGATATTTCCACTTCTTAGTGATGATCTAGACTTATCTCATAATTTCCAAATAAAATACACATAAGTTTAATATTGTAACATAAAAATGTGCATGACTGGATGCAGATTTTGCGATAAAGTTTGCTGAGTTTTAAGCATGATAACCTTTGCTAATCATTGTAAATCCAAAGCATGGTTTATGCCCCCACTTTGAATGGTTGTTGTTGGAAAGCTAGTAAATTTTATCATTCTTTTTTACAAGTCTAACAGAAATTTTAATGGCTATCATTGTATTAAGGAAGTTCATATTCTCTGGTGAAATTCAATTTATTTTATGTTCTTAAAAATGTACAACAACTTAAAGTATCTCCTTTTTTACATTTGATTTATATCCATGGTTTCACAAGTAGAGGATTTTTAAATCGGTTAAAACTTTTCTAATGCAATCTTGCACAGAAAAAACAAAGAAATCCTAAAATCTGAATGATTCTTACAATCCCCTTTTTGCCAACAGGATGGTCCTCAGTCCAAGTCTTTTTGGAACAGAGTGATAGAAATCTTTGTAAAATCTTTTTAAATATGTTGTAACCCTTCTTTGACTTTGCTGCTCTCTTCAGCTCACCATTTAGGCCTTTGAACTGAGATGCAGAGGACAAGGATTGACTTAGCGTCTGCTGAATAATTTCTGTGGTGATCTGACCTAATCTTTTGAAACAAACGGCAAAAGCTAAGGGCACTACTAACCCACTACGGGTGGTTATTTGTTTTCAACTTCCTTATGTTGCATTTTTAAAATATAAAGTTTCATACAGATATGAATAAAATATTCTTTGTTTCATGTCAAATCCGGCCAAATGTTTGCTGCAGAGAAGGTCAATCTTTAATCTCATTTAACCAGATCCCATGATTCCAGTTAAATTCCAAGTGACATTTGGCAGACTTTATAGTTTTACATTTTTAACAGAGGGACAGGGACATTACTCATCCCAAAAAAATTAGTGATATGGTGTTGAGTGGTTGGCATGGAGACTTTGACCACAATATGCCACTCTTTAAAAAAAACATTACACAGAGCTTTGAAAGTTGTTTAATCTTTTCCACTGTGTGTAGTGGCAAAATATGCCTTTTAAAGCAACACTGTGAAATTTTACAGCTCTAGGAGTGATAAACCTGCAACTTCCAGGTTTGGTGCCCCTGAAAGCACCTTGCAACACTACACTGACACAAAATTAAACAGTCTCCACTTTTGAACAGCAGATTGAGAAGTCATGAATTTACTTGCAAAGACAAGACAGCGTTCACCACTCTGCATCAGACAACCACAAATATGTCTGTTCAGGTAAGCACCATACTGTATCTGTTTTGTTGGCAAAACAAAACATTTAGCTTAGTTAGCTCTTGTGTTAAAGTGGAGCTTAGAATTCCCCATTGTGGCGCTCTGGGTCACATAACTCATTTAATGACAGATCTGACCCTCTCCATTTACATAGGCAAGTTTTTTGAGCACACCAGCCTGGAGCATTGATACGTGCAAAGTATTGTATTTTAACTTGAAAAAGTATTTAATACATCTCAAATTAGGCTAATACTTTGGTCAAATAGTTAAAACGGTGCTGCTTTATTATTTCACTAAGTGTTTACTTGAGCATCTTTAGATTAATTGGCTATTTTATTGTGGCTATTTTCCTTTGTCTTTCCCATTTTGAGAAGTTTGCTTAGAGAAATTGATCTCTCTGTTGTTATATTAATAATTTAGGCTGTGTCTGAACGTCTGCCCTAATCCTTATATAGGGCCCAATAACGCCATTTTATATGAGTTTCTGAAGAACTAGTGGATGAACAAGTAGTGGACTCAAAATTTTCCACAATGCATCTTGAAAGGTATTGTACATCAATTGTCACTAGATAAGCAGATATATCCCAGAATGCTTTGCAAGATCTCCTCGCAAAGCATCAAGGGATTTGTTTTGATAGCGAGAGAGAACAAAGATGGCATAGGCACCGTGCGGGGAAATGGAGTCCTGTGACCTACTCAAAGCAAAAAGTAGTGATCATCTGTCCGAACGGCCAGTTAACTGAGTGGACTATAAAATTCACTATACAGTCCCTTCTCTATATAGGGATTGAGGTGTTACTGTTCGTACACAGCCAAGTCTAACAGAAAATCTTAAGGTAAACAAATTATACCACCATTTTCATGTGAAACAGGCCGTATTGTAAGTATAATACATATAAAAATGGTCACATGCTACATAACCTATTGACGCAATGCTAAAAATTTGTGATAGCGAACTATAAGCAATCCTTAACTGAGCTGGAAGCTAGGAAGTGACATACAAACAGTCCAAGGAGGGTGTAAACACCTATACTATATCCTGCCAGTTGCAGTCAGTCATCCTGTTCCATAAAATACTATCATTCTGCTGCTTATTCTCACACTTGCGCACCTTTTAATGGGTAGGGAATTTTGAAAAAGGACTTCCCTTTACATATGATTTATATTTTTGCAACCTTAGGCCTGGCATTTTTAGAGCTATTGCCTTGGACCATTGCCTTGCAATTCCGTACTCCGGGACCTGGTACAGTTGGAACGTCCCAATCACAAATATTCTTGTGTGATGGTAACAACACTTAGTCTCCAAGGATGCCAAGATGATGGCTCAGACAGAACAGAAAAGCACAAACAGTATAAAAAAAAACATCGTTTTAATCTGTGTAGTTGCAAAGAGAATGCTTCCACATTTAGACAATTATTATTTTTTTTTTTTTTACCTTTTTAGTATCTGAAGCAATGTGACCATTGCAACAGCTGTGTCCGATTGAGTTGCATTCTATTCGGTATTGGTGGCACTTCACTCAGTTAGCCTTTTAATGATGTTAAAGTATTAAATTTGGGAAAATACCAAAGTAATTAAGATTTATTGTAGACTGACCCCATGATAGAAATAAAAAAGACTGCAGCTATTATCCAGCAGCTGTGGAGGTAAAATGGGCCCTTGCTGAAATAATGGATCAACAACCTAACATTATTATTTTTAAAGCCATCTCATACCTTTTTAGCTGAACACCTAAACAGCAGCAGCTGAGGCAGTGAAGGTTTTCATTGATTTGATTTTATAAATGTTGGAGACACATTGTGGAGAAAACTGTATATAAAGACATCCTCATTAAGGGAGGCAATCCATGAATGTGTTCGGCTATAAAGGTAGTAAGGTGTCTTTTTCACCCAGACCTACTTGAACTGAGAAAGTTTACAATAAAACACTCTGCTCTGTTCAGTAAGTCAGACCATTAACAAATAAAATTAGGCTGACATGTTGTAATTCTTAGGTTGTTGGAACTATGGGAATTATTTGGTCTATTTTTTGTGTTCGGGTGTGTGTGGGTGTGTGTTTCTCCATTCAGTTCTTACATTATTTGAAGTCCACCCCCAGCTCCTCTACTTTCCTTCTGCCTCAGCTGTTTCTCACTTTTCACCTTGCTAGTTCCATATATGACAAAGTCACCGTCCTCATGTTTAATTGAACAAGCGAACTGTACTGGGGCTACTATTGGACAACATAACATACAATTTACAAGATGTCATCAATTTGAGGCCATTAAACTCTTGGCACAAAAGTCCTGAAGTTAAAATATCAGTCAAATGCAGAAGTCCAATAGCCAAGTCCAGACACTTAAAAACCCCATCTCCAAAAGGATCAAGATTTATTCAACAGACCATTCTTTAATATACAGTATGTGTCTTTGTGTTTTCCAGTGAGTTAAAATAACCCTAGCAGCCATATATATATATAATATGTCTGATTCTGATGGTTGCATTCATCCAACCTGATCATCATTAATACTCAACAAAGC